TCTTTTTTTTCCGATAAAGCCATAAGTTACTTGATTTTTTCAATTTAAATTTCCTATGAAACTCAACAGTGTTTCACAGAATGCAATATCGATTACGTGTAGAAAAGTTATTTACTAAAAAAAAAAGATGTTTTTTATTTCTCGTTTTCATTAAGACGTGTTGGCGTGATACGTGATATAATTTTATGATTGAATAAAAATTTTAATCGAAATATGTTTTGTAAGTAATAAAAAATAATTGAAATTTAGTATCTCAACGGCAATTTAATCATTCAATTATCGATTATTATTATTATTTATTACTAGTTTTTTTTGCTTATGCTATTTGCTACCGTAACACTATGAGTGCTGCAGTTGCACTGTAATTATTGCTATTACTTCTATTACTTGTAATGCTAATGCTACCACGATTACTAGTGTTTTTTGTTGTTGTTGTTGTTGTTGTTGTTGTTGTTGTTGTTGTTGTTTTTTTTTTTTTTTTTTTTTTTATAAATGTGTAGTGTGGTTGTTTATCTTTGCTGGTATGGTTTTCGTCTTACTTCTGGTTAAATACTAATTGATGCTCGACACTTGCTGCTCCTCTTATTCTCCGTTCATCTCTCTTCAGGTGAGGTGTGCAAAATAGGTAATGTTTCAGTTCATCTTCCAGAAAAATTTTGTTTTCATGTTGTTCCAGCTCTATGTGATAGAGCTACAATCGGACAGTACTCTTAGTAAATTATAAAGAAGGATAAAGAAGAAGAAGTGGGACACTCTGGGGAACGCTTATACGCGTATATAAAGAATGGTGTGTAGATAAATTCATATTTAGCTTGCAAAGATAAATGTCAATTAGCATAGCAGAACTCTTTAAAGGCCCAAGATAGCCCTGTGTTAAGTGTAGTTAGTATGAATTTATGGTTAGATGCGAAAGCCATTCAAAGTCGGGAATCTAAGATATCTTTGTCAACAACACGCGAGTCTGTACGAAAATATGAGAAAGCGGAAGTGATCTTTTCAAGAACTGTGTCTGAAAAACCCGACACTGGCAGCGGCTGGCCTTGGTAAAGTAGCCTACTTACAAAGCTCGTAGGTGTCTATGCCACGCGAATTTGAATGCGAATACCTTTCGAATGAAGTAAAAGAAGAAAAGAAACAAAATTTGGCATCTTAGCATAAATCGACAATTTTCATTAATACCACGACAATCTGTGGACTAATGCCCTTGAAATAAACAGAAAATTCATTGTGAAATGATATAACTATCTATTCTATATCTCTGACTTTGCCCTGTCCTTTGGTTTCTTTTCATTACATTTTTTAACATGTGTGTAGCTTTTATTCTTCAACATGTGAACAATCAAAGTTGAACAGAAAAACACATAGGACAATTTCAATGTTTTCCATAAGAAATTAATTCCAATACTTTGATCTGTTCAACATGTTGTCGCACCTTACACTACCTGTGGTACAGAGTATATGAAGATTGTGCGGAAGTACGTAACATGCAGAAGCACTTGAGATGCAGAAGTGCACCTTTTATATATCTATCTATCTAAGCCTGTCTGTCCATCTGTCCATCTGATGGCTGTCCATCTAAAATGATGTTCAAGCTATACGTTAATACACGTTGATCCAAGGGCGAACGCTATCGAAAATGTTTTAGATTGGTCCACTATTTCGACCACTCTCCATAGAGCGCTCCACTTTGAAAAGTCCTTATATGGAAAAAATTGCAATTTTTGTAATTTCTTACAAAACGTGACTAAGTAATAATATTTCGGCATTTTAAATTGGTTTGCAAACTTTGGACAGGGTCGGGCAATTTTTTGAAGCTCTTTTCATATAATGAAAACTTAAGTTCAAAAGGTCTGATTTTCAATGCTTTATGATGAAAATCAGATCATAAGAGTAATTCAAGAAGAAAAAAGGTAACTATATCAAATTTGGACTATCTCGGTTCATTCTTTGGATTTCACACAATATAAAGATTTTTACGAAAATTCTTATTTTTTAGGGCACAAAAAGCTAAGCTTTATTACGTTATGATGAAACTTGACCCATAGTAGCAATTTGATATAAAAATTAACGGTACCGAATACGTATGTCAATATTTCAATCGCTTGGGCACAATGGATAGTAAGCCTTTACCAGTAAAGACGAATGTACAGTTCCATAATATTAAGTTCATATAAAAACAGGGCGTAATTTTTCGTGTTCTACGAAAAAAACAGGGAATGTGTTAGACAATATGCTGTAGGGTATTTAATAGTCGACCTAGCTCCATTATAATGTTTTCACTTGTTTTCATTTTGATTTAATAAGAAAATCTTCTTCTGTTTTCTATCAAGCTCCTCACTGAGAATACCCAGCATTGTTTCAGTTTATACTTTCACTTTTCTTTCCGCACGAGCTATCGATGCAGTCTTTTCCATGAGCTGCTATCACTTTTATCTAAGTAAAAAAAAAAAAAAAAAAAAAAAAAAAGCATTAACAGATTTTTTTATAGCATCAAATTTTGGAAATAATGGGAACTGGTCCACAAATGTGCAAAGACGATGAAATGTCGTGCCAAAATTCGCCTGAAGTGAAAGCATCTCAACAAAGCATCCGCTGCTTATACATAAGTTGTTAAGTAATTGGGTCAACTTACCTAATTTTTGAGTTTAACGTCTTAGGCCGTTCATTAAAAACGAAATCGAAAATTATATTCTTCTTCTTTGTGGGTCGTTAAGATCCAAGATTGTAAAGGATTTGCTTTTTGCTTTTCCTCTTTCAAAATTTAAGAAATATTTTTTTCTTTATAGCTTCACAGTACTGTAATACCGTTTATTGTATAAACAAATTGCTTAATAACACTGATAAAATTATTCTGTGCGTTTACATAAGCGAACATGTGCACGTACACCGTTTTAATTACGGCATCTTAATAATGCTTTATATGCATAATGATTTATACGATTAGGGTGACTTAGCTTAACAACACATTAGCGAGTATGGTAGGGTGTATAGCGTTTTAATTATGTCATCTTCATAATGCTTTATATGCGCAATGATTTATACGATTACGATGGCTTAGTTTTACAACTCATTAGCGAGTATGGTAGAGTGTATGCATCTGCATGCTTACGTTTATTAGCTTTAATCTATTGTTGCTTTGATTCCTCTTCTCAGTATTCATTTGAAATTAAGTTCTTCCAGTCCAATGTAGATAATTACATCAGATACATCAATGTGCATCTGTACATCTGCTTTGTTTCATTTCCTTCCCATCTAAAGTAACTGTGTCAAGTTCAAATATATCTCTGTACCTGAAATTAATTGCAATTATCTGCCAATAAATGCACATCAAAATAATAGATCAAAAAACAGAAAAAAAAATAAAAAATAAATAAAATAAATAAATAACAAAACAAAACGCTGCACTTATCCCATATACACAACAATTTCAATCTAACCTTTCACTTTACGAATTGTTGATTTGATTAAATGATTAAAGGGTAACTAAAAGCAAACAATGCGAAAAAGGTGATGGGACGAATGTTGTATATATATATATATATATATATATATATATATGCAACTATATAAAGGCTTAGATATCATCCCATAGTATGCTACAAATGATCCATAATGCACTCACAAATGATTTCAACTCATTTTTATTTACATTTACTTATGTTTATATTTAAAAACAGAAAAGTTTCATGTCATTTTCATGTCTTCTGCAGTAAACCGTGTGCAGAAAACTAGAATATAAAAAATTATTTATTGTCGCCATTTGACATTTACGTAGTGGGTTTTTATTTATTTTATTGCGAATATACACATTTTGTCGAAACGTTTGAAACGCCCAGAAGAAGGCTTTGAAAGATCAGCATCAAACTTTGAATTGATGTAAGCAAGTCCGCCTCTCTGTCCGTTTGTGGCTATCTGCCTATCTGTTTGTGCAATCTCAGCGGTAAACATGCTTTTGGCAGGCAAAAGGTGAAGATGTAAGCTTTAAATTTCACAGTAACATTGGAAGTTCTTCCACGCAAGTGGATGGACTCATAGAGTTTCTGTGTTTTTAAAAACGAAAAAAAAAATTTGTTTTTTTGCTCGTCACTTATAAGCCAGAGAAAAATGGCCCAACCAATGTTATAGAGTATCGCAATTCTATTTACTTTGTGCTTTTTTTTTTGTATGTATGTAATTTGCTTACTTGTTTGGGTTTTTTAATGCCCAACACTGTAAGAGGGGGGTTTACTCATTTTGTTGTTCAGAGACCTAATAACCCCAGTGTGAAATCCCGAGTTGATTTAGCCATGTCTGTCCGTCTGTACGCCTGTGTGTTTTGTTTTCTCCTGGTCGCGAAAAACGAAGATATCGACTTCAAAGTTGATAGAAACATTGGAAGTTTATGCACCCAAGTTGGTATGGAAAATGGGCCAAATTGGTCGTAGCAGAAGCGCACAATCGAGTGTAAACTGAACGCAACTCAGTTTTTTTTAACAAAATATTTTGGATTTTTGCTCGTTACTCGGAAATTATTAAAGTTAGTAGGCTGGAATTTTCCGCACGTACGTTACGAAACCGTCTGTTCTTTTGATCCAAAAAATGAGACGAATCGGCAATGCCCACATAACGTTACGAGTAATTAAATTTTAGCTTTTTCACTTTTTTGAGGTTTTGTGCTTATTTATCGTAACGCAAACAAGACAGAGTGTCTACAACTATTTTGTATACCCCTCCATTTGCGTAAAAATGGGTTAATTCTGAAATGAAGATGGTAAACATCGCAATTAATTTTTTCTTAATAATACCAGCGATATGGGTATTAAATTAAAGAACTTTGGGAGTAGAATGAGAACAAAGCATAGTGGTGGGTATAAGAGATTCGGAACCCGCCGAATGTAACTTTCTTACTTGTTTTCCTTTAATTGTATATATTAAACTATTATAATTAATTAATTTTGATATATTATTAATTTATAATTTGTTTTTTTTTTTTTTATTAAACTTGTTCTCTGTCATTTCAGTCGATTTTATCTATAAAGAATCATACATATATATATACACATATATATATATATATATATACATATATATATCCAATCTTTTTTTACAAGAAGATTTCAATATCATCGCGTAAGCCACATAACGTCTTACGTACAATACAAGGAATTATGCCTATAAAAAGATTATTTTATCGATTTCAACCGGCTCCATTATATATCGTTTTAATATTGTCGATATGTTACTTTAGCGTACAATTAATTTTAAGCCACATCACACATGCGTTAACATTGTTAATGGCCTCATATCATATGCTATGCAATATATTTGCATTGGCCGGCAGTATTGTTACTATAAAGGTAAGTAAATACATTCTATACAATTAAAAGTTTAAATTTAGACGCTTACATATAATCTATTACCAAGTGATCATAGCTTCCTATCTAATTATATATATATATATATATATATATTTTTTTTTTTTACGCTAATAATAATTTGTATATATAACGGCTAAAAATTATGATTGTAAGATTGTGATTAAAACTTTGATACTCACATAGTTTCTCATTTCATATGGCTATGCGGTTCTTCGACTCTATCGTCTATTGTCAGTTGTCTTAAACGAAACGAAATTTGTTTGATATACATCGGCATTACTGCACCCACCACGTTTACAATATATATTCATCTATGACAAGCAAAATAAATGGAAACATAAAAGAATGTTTACTTTACTCCTATGACAGACAGACACTCCTATGTAAAGTTTTTCAATCTTCAATATCAATTTAGTTAATCCTATATAAAATTCAATATTTCTTCGTGAGTAATGCGATCGTCAATAAGAAACCAGCAAAATAAAAGCATTGTATTCCAGCAAGACTGACCATTAAATAACTTACCACACTTCTTCGAACACCTTACCCCTTAATGCTTTGAGCATAAAAACACCAAAAATTGCACTTTGCTTCCATGTAAAGGAATTCCTTTGAAGAGAAACCTTGCATGGGCTGTTGAGTGTCTAAAGTATAGAACCGTGTGGTTCAAATTTTGTATAAAACTTTGCCCATAAAAAATTGAACATTTGATAAGTTTTGTTACATAGCATATTTACTTATGCATGTAGCTTTTGATATGGACGGTTATAGGGAGGTCTCCCGTTGCGAAAATTGGCCCATCCAATTCAAATTTTTCAGCAAGTATGTAACCATATGTGTGAACGGTTACAGGCGGATCTTCCGTTGCTCTTTAAAAAATTGGCGCAATCAATACAAACTTTTCCACGAGTACGTAACTTTTCATGCTAACGGTATTAAGGGGTCTCACGTCGCGCCTTAAAAGATTGACCCATCCATTTCAAATTTTTCCGCGAGTATGTAACTTTCCATATGAACGATTATAGGGAGGTCTCACGTCGCGCTTTGAATTCATATTTTTCAGCGACTATGTAACTTTCCATATGAACGGCAATAGGGAGATCCGCCATTGGTTCATCCTATTCAAGTTTTTCAAAGATCTTTTGCCGAAATACGATTATTTCGATATTTTTTTCATCTATCATTTTTTTTCCAAAGGAATCGTTACATAGACAGTGAACGCAAATATGATGCGATTGAATTCATTTCCATCCTTGGGTTAAAACCGTTCAGTGTTAGTGTATTAATTTTCATCAAAACATGTTAAAAATTGAGCAGAAACTACATGGATGAAAAGATAAGCAAATAAACTTTTATTGGATCAATAAGTGATCCGTAAATCGATTCAAAAAATTATTCTCATACATGCATGATTCTGGATCGATCGATGTAGAAAGTGTGAGGAGTGGATCTTAAGTTGTTCTGTCTGTTATTTACATACGCACCAACTTACCTTATATATGTATATATATATATATATATGTATATATCTACCTTATAACAAATATGGATAACAATGTAAACTGAGACCAAATGTGTTTATGAATATTTCGTTCATATAATGCAATAATAAATCGTATGCTCAAAGTCTAGTTCAATGTAAAGGCGAAGAGTATAAAAGTTTCGGCCACAACTGAATGTAATTGTGGCCTGTGCTTGTAAAAATCAGTTAACATGCAAGCAAGTCAACGTGTAACTAATAAGGCTACCAAATGTTAACTTATAAATGGAAATTTTTTTTAATCCAAGTTATTACAAGACTTAATATCTTATCATGAATCTTTGTTTTTTGTTTTCCGAATAAAAAATAAAAAAATGAATTATTAAAACTGAATAACTATCCTCTACTAGTCTCGTTTGTTACACTCTAGCCATCGATAGCGGCTGCTAATTTTACCATTAACTGCCTTTTTTTGTGTACTTGAATGGATGTCTGCCTTTGACTATGACTGAAACATGAAATAGCATTTAAGATAACCGTTAAGATAACCTTTTTTAATAAGATAAAATTCAATTTTTTTTTTTTTTTCAGCATAATTTATACAACAACAACACCGGGGAAAAGGATTATTTTAGTAATGAATGCCAAAAAGCCAACGTTACAGATATTACGAGAGACAAGTCTGATGCAATACAAAGCGATGAAAATCTTAAAGCTAAGAAAGCAACCATACTACAACAAACGACCGAACAAGAAGAGGAAGCTAAATTGACGATCGCAAGTAAAAGGCGTGAAATAAAGATACGGAATACGTTTGGTTGGGCGCGTATCGAAATCTTGACGATGCTTATCGTCTGCATTACATTGATTTCTTTGTCGTTTTCTCTGTTAGTCGAAGGGCTGCAGACATTGGTTCATATCGATCACCAAGATTCCATGCATCTACCAATGCTGGTCACGATTTTAGGCTTAGTGGGACTATTATTGAATGGATTTACTTATCTAACTATCGGTGGATATACCCTGCATCAGGGCAATTTTCTACATATAACACCAACTGGTGCGGTAATACAAGAATCGAATTCCTATAAAATTGATCTGAGTAAAGAGAATAGCATAAATGAAACACCGCAACTAAAGCAAGAATTGAAAAAAGAATTTCAAGATGTTTACAATAACAACAACAAGAACAAAAGGCAAGGTGCGGCTGAACTATTAAGGGATGTCTCCAGCACCATATTTGTGATTGTTTGCGGTATAATTGTGCATTTCGCAGCCGATAAGGAGCATACAGCGAAATTTATAGATCCGATCTTGTCAATATTCTCATGCGTTTTAGTTGTGGCCCTAAGTTATCCATACAGTAAGTTGTTGAAATCCTTGTTCCTCTTGCTTTTTTTTTTTTGTTTAATAATATTCTCTTTCTTTTTTTCTCGTCTTCAGTGAAGAAAGCCTGCTTAATTTTATTGCAGACGATACCCGATACAATTGATATGGATAATTTCGAACGATCGCTAATTTCGAAATTTCCGCAAATAGTTAGCTACCACGATTTACATATCTGGCAATTATCTTCGCATAAGTATATTGCCACCGTACATATTGTCTTCCAAAATTCGAAACTTTATAATAAAACTATCGATGACGTAAGCGCATATTTTCATGAATACAGCATAGCACATGTTACTATACAACCGGAATTTTCGAATGGCAAGACGCCGTCATCTTCAACAGAATGCCTAATGCATTGCACTAATCCGGATTGTGTTGATAAGGTTTGTTGCAAGGATTCCTTAACGGACCTAACGGACATCAGTGTTTCTCCGGGCGGTAATACCCAAATTCCAAATAAAAAGTCGAACGGTAAGTATAAAAACAAACAGCAAACGGGAAAGAAGACGTCAATGGCGAACAATGGTAAAACACGGATACCAACGCCAACATTATCAGTAATCGGCAATGAGAGATGTAAATCATTAACAAATGCCACTGAAGAGACATTACAAACTCCCAACCCGGATGAGACTGAGAAGACTGAGAATACAAATCTAAGTCAAACTAAAACAAATGCAAGAACTAGCACGAACGTCAACGCCATCGCCACTAGTAGTAGTAGTAGTAGTAGTAGTAGTAGTACCGGTGATTCAACAAACGATAGCAACGATACCAAATGTTAACTTTCATACAAAAAGTGTCATGAATTCATTGTCATGATGACCTTTCTAGCACAGGGATATATATATCATAACTTTTTATTAAAAAGCGTAGCCTGACTTTTTCTCTTAAGTTTAGTAATAATCGTTACCATTGCTATGTATATATACAAAGTAATTATTGATTAATTAATTAGTGCAAAAACACTTACATCCCCATACCTACTCTATCGCTGATATTTACTTATATACAATAATTTGCATTTAAGTTGAAATCAATAAAACCGAGAGTAGAGAATATTTCTCTTACGTACTGCATACAAATGTTTACGTTTAAGTAAAAAAAAAATAAATAAATAAAAAAAAAAAAAAAAACAAAAGAAGCAAAAAACAAAAGTATTGGACTATGATAAGCGTGCAGTTAGTTATTTTATAATAATAATACGGATCAATGTAATGAACGAAACCATTTATAATCTGGCTTTAATACAATATATGATTTTATAAAGCTATAAGGAAAGGAAAAAACTAAATGTAAATATATGTGTAAATCTTAAGGTGACTATTTACAAAATAAAATGACATACGTATATATGTGTACTAAAAATGTTTGTCGCGTTGTGCATAAATCTCCCTTCAAGGATTAACGTTTACTAGACTTATTCTCGAATCCACAATTCAGAAATCCCTTAAACAAGAATAAGTAAATGTACCTGTACTCTTGATCAGTTCAAAAATCGATTCGATGAAAGTAAGTAAGAGAGATCGCAATCAATAACCTGATATGACCATGGGCAGGTTTATGTTTTTTACATATGGCGATAAAATATGCTTTTCTTTAACTTCAAAAAAAAAAATCGAAATATTTTATGCACAAAGACAAAGTAGTCGAGGCTTAGCCGAATGTGAATGTAACTCTCTTTACAGCAAAACAAAGAACAAGGCTTACATGCCTCACTTTGAGAAGTCTATCATTATTAACTAAGACCGTAATGTGACGCTTAGGGAAATCGAATCCAAACTAGACGGGTTTGCCCGTAATTACGTCACTGTTGCAGCGAATTATGTAGGAAAATAATAAGAACGAGATTGTTTTAAAAACATTTTTGCCATTAGATTGTCTATACTTAATATTGGTAACTGAAAACTTTGCAATTTAAAAAATAAATGAAAATTACGTTCGGGAAAAATTCTAGTTCTCTTCAGTTATAATGAGGTGTAATGTGCAGGATAGGTACACAGTGCTTTAAAAATGATGTGCAATCATCTTCGATACCAGCCGATCAAGGTCTACGCTTGAAAGTAACACCATTGACACCACTGTTAGCATAGGTTGAAAATCCCGCCTTCCGTTAATAACAGCAAGTGCGAACACCATGACTCTGCATTGCAAAAAATAATTCCAAAAAATCGGGGGTAACGAAATCGTAAGGGGTAACATCGTCATAAATCGAAAAAACTGAAATTTTCATTTTTTTGCCAAAAAAGTAAGGGGTAACATCGTCATAAATCGAAAAAA